TAAGAAGTCTAATTTATGTGAATTGTTGAGTGCCAACAATTGACTGATATTTCTTCTTCTGAAATTCTTTTGTCCTTCTTACGTCGTTATTATAACTTTCACTCTGTTTAAATTATAATATTATCACTATTATACATCGCATCATACAACACGAAATGTATACGTTCGTTATAATTATATCAGCAAATTATAAAAAGAGGAAAATCGAGATTTAAGTACGATATCCCCTCAGAAGGGACAGTCGAGCGCAAATAAAAACGATATATTTGAATTGCAAATAGTAATTATCCGAGTTGCAGTAGACAAGATATCAACTCAAAACAAACCTACAGCTAAGCCAGAAAAACTGACAAAACAAAGACCAAAAAAAAAAAAAAAAAAAAAAAGAGAAAAAGAAATAAGAAACGAAGTTTCCTATTTCGCGATGAGCGAACAACACGACCGATAAGGCTCGAATTTAAGACGCGGGATCGGTCGCAATAAATTCGGATCAACGAGGCTAACCAAGTCTCCGAATTCGCATCTTAATACGATCGCAACAGTGTACGACGAGGAGAGCTCGTGAATGGAGAGGAATCCTCGATTGAAAGAACTTATATTCTATGCCGTTTCTCTCTCTTCTTTTTTTTTTCTTTTCTCTATCTCACACAGCACCACCGAAAGAAAAAAAAGAAAAAAAATGCTCGTTCGTTGGAGAAACGAGGATGTTGAATCGCGAGTCGAAGGTGAAAAAGGGGCAAGAAGAACAGCGGCGTGGCGCGGTGCTGGCTGTTGCCACGGCCCGGAGATTTTTCAAAAAGGAAATTATAAAAGCGGACTGGAAACGGGAGGGGAGGCTATAAAGAGGGATCTTTACGAGACACAGAGAGGCTGCACAGAGAGGGCCCTGCTCTCGAACAGAAGAAGCGCGCGGGACCTGCCGTGACATCTCGACGTTGTTTATCGAGTTACGGAATTCGAAGATAAAATCGTGCCAGCCGAGAGCCGTGGACGCTGGCCGCGAGGGGTAAGCTCCAGGGACGGCGAGCTTCTCGTTAAAAACATGCTTGTTTCGCCACGTTAGAGATGGCTTGCTCTTTGTCGGGTGGTGGCATTGTCTCGCGGGGATGCGCATTCCTCCCCGGTATCGGTAACCGATTGTCTCATTTCGTTCGCCACGAGAAAATTTTCGTCGCTTTCGTGGAAACTTCGATGGATCGTTTCGTAGAAGATAAATTTCAAATTTTACTTTGATTCCATTTTTCACTCTGTTCTTTCGCAATAATTTTTTTTTTTTTTTTTTTTAATTGTAATACTCTCGATTATCCCGCTCCAATTACGTCCCGCGACAATGAAATTTTTCTCGACACTTTCTTTCTACGACGGAAGCTCGCTGAGTATAACGCAGAACGGCCGAATGTTGTCGCGGAAACAGTTGACGTTGACGTATACGTGTACACCCATGGAAAAGTTCACGAGGCAAGGAAGTTAATTGACCTAATGTTTAGTAAAGTGGGAGGAAAGGAGGAGGGAGAGGAAGCAATTTGATACTTCTTTCGCGATCGCGTACAGAATATTCAGAAAATACCTGGAGCGAGGCAAAGCACAATGAGCTGGTTGTTCCGAACGAGGAAGAAACGCGCGGAACCTATTTGTACAGCAGGACGCAGGAAGTGGCGCGATAAAGGGGCGAAGAATAATTAAAATGTAACAAGAAGCTGTTTACCGAAAATTCCAACGGTGAAGCGAGTAGCACCGTAGGGACACAGAGGGGTGTAAATTTCCCCCTGGTGGAGAATAAACTACCGGTAATATGCCTGGACTCGTCCGCGAGAAAAGATCGTCGTCATTATAAAGATAGAATTATACTCTGACGATATTAACTCTGCACAAGCATTCCGCAATTTCCAGAACGATAAATAATCCTCCTTACTTCGGCGAGAATACACTCGACGACGCTTTTATCGCGCGTCAGATGAAATTAGCGACCGCTTCGTTCCTCCAACGAATCTCGCGGTCCTCCTCTGTTCATAATTTCCATCTTTGCACGATCGACGAACGCGCTGTCATCCTCGTTGCATCCACAGAGTCTGTGTTTTTTTAACTCGTTTTTTTAACACTGCGCAACCAAATTTTTCAATTTCTACAATAACTTGACGTATGATCGCACGTTAACAAAGCGACAAATATAAATTTAACAAGCTCGCGTTAACAACGTGTCTTGGATTTACATACATTCGTCGCTTGATCAGTGCTGGTTCGGAACTGCATTCTAAAAATGCGTGCGATTCCTCTCGCTGTTCGAGGAAACACCTCTTCCTCGTCGTTCGAAAGAGTATGAAAAAAGGAATATAAAATTTAATGTACTTCTTCAGTAGCGCGTTACTCACAGGCCCCTACCGCTCCTTGCTCCTCGGACATTTCAAATTCTTCCTGTACGTCAATTTGTTACAAATTCCTACTGTTCTCCTCCCTGCACCGGTAATTCTGCCCTTCGTAACTTTGCTTCGTTTAATTCTTACTTGCCACCGGCTTCCTCAACCACTGCTACAAGTTTCAAATTCCTACCACCTTTTAATTTATCGCTTCTTCTGCCGCCGAATCTGCTTCACTTTCTTTTCTCCTTCTCTCTCTCTCTCTCTCTCTCTCTCTCTCTCTCTCTTCGGCAAGTTTCAAATTCCTCTTGCACTTCAATTTATCGCAATCCCTCTTTCCCCCGTCGCCCTTTCTTCCTCCTCTTCTTTTTCCATTTCTTGACCTTCTTCTTTCTACCTGGCTCGCGATACACCGCCGACAGTCGAACAACGAGGAAACGAGGACGAGAGAAAAGGGTGCAATTACATTGGGCGCAATTTATCGCGATCAACGCGCAAAATAGCCCGATATCGCGAGCCTCGTTCTTGTTTAATCCCCGATTACGATCGTGAATGGACAGAGGAACGCGCGGGAAATACTGGCAACGCTAATGGCGGCAGATTCAATTCGGTCTCGTTTCTGATCCCTGTCTCTCTCCATTTCTCTCGCTCTCTTTCGTTCTTTCTCGCCGAGCGAGAAATACAAACGTAGCCGGACTTTCGTTTATATCGCGGCGAATCACTTAACGGGCAACAGAAGTCGATCCTCTGAAATTTCGTCCGATCAGACTGGCAACGATACGTCGTAAGCGACGAAAAAAATGCTCGTGGTTAATGTCAGCGAGAAGTATTTTATTTGAAACTTGCTGTCGTGATAATTATCACTTACGAAGCAATGAAATCAACCAACTGAACTACGTATTTGATTAAAATTAATTGACTCTTTTGGGTGTTTAATCCGTGCTAGACTATTTTAGAGATGATTTTATAGTCGGTAATACGAATGACGATCGATCTACTCAAAGAGTAAAATATATTACGATATATTAATAAATGTACGTTTAAAGATGAATGCATTTTTAATTCGTTCGTATTAATTCTCGTTCAAACTTTCAAATTTCTGGCAACTAAAATTTAACAACAAGACACGATAATTCTCCTCCGTGAAGTCCGAGAACTTCCTCTCGGATTTTATTATGAATTACCGGCTCGTTTCAAGAGTGAACCAGTTGAAATCTACTTTCGACCATAAGCCAGCCCGAAGTCCGAACAAGTTTCAAGCCACGGGTATGTCGCCGATAATTTTCCGAAAAATTCGGTCTCCAAATTCCTCGGCCGTTAATGTCCCAGCTAGACCATAATCCTTTGCACGAGCGACCGAGCAAAGTCACACACCAAAAACGTTCGCCAAAGTTCAAAACCGTGCGCAGGCATTTTTCCAAGCCGCCAGCCGGACTTGACTCGCAGGACGACCGGCGAAACCCCGAGCCGGAATTAACGAGGACAAAAGGTCCTCCTCGAGTTCCAGCAGTTCGATCGCGATGCAGCAAGAGGGCACCGTGCAGGGCATTATTTCCTCGTCGTGGCCGACGGTAATTCCACGCAGGCATAGAGACGAGAAGTATCCTTGAGTATCATCTCTCCTCTCTTTCTCGTGCGGCTGCGGTTCTCTCGTAAAATCGCCGAAAGGAAGATTTTTAATTGGCATAGAAGTCGAATGGAGCGTCACGTTGCAACGGCGTAGCGTGGCGTGGCGAGAGGAACGAGAGGAAGAGGAAGACACGAAGAAAAAGGAAGATGAAAGAACGAAGGGGGAGGAGACGTTGGAAACGATCATCGTCGCCCTGGCTTGGATTTCGTGGCTCGAACGAAACCGACGACTTCGTGCGGATCCAGACTTCGATATTTCATATTTACGACGACGTAGCCCGGCGTATAGAACGTGTTCCCGCGGACAGAGAGGACAGGGAGGGAGGGGGAGGGAGGCCTTCGGGAGCTTTAATAACCTCGGTCGGCTCTTTCGTATCGAGGGGATTATATTCCGTGGATTAACATATTGACGCGATGTTCCTCGGGCCCGGGTTCCTCGCTCCGTCCGCATCGTGCGGGACGGGAGAGGGAGAGGAGAAAAGGAACAAGTTAACCGACGAGTTACTAAATCACCGGGTCCGGACCCAACCGTGGAACCGACCAGGAATTGTTATTAATACCCTGGTAAGCCTGGTTTCGTTCACCAATAGCTGACAGCCGCGACTCTGGACGCCTCCGTTCGTCGTGACCAGCCCTAGAACGATGGATCTCGTTAAGAGACGAGCTTCGACTTCGAGCCTAATTTCCACCGACCGGCCCCCGTTGATTGGATCGATTCCACCCGAACGTTTCTCGCTCAATGGGCGTTCGTTCGTTCTTTTCCAAATTATACAATCAGCGTCGGCCGATGCCAGCTGGACGAATTAAGGGGTCGAGATCGTAAATTGATACGCCACGGCTCGGAACGAAAACTCTGAAAGCCTCGAGAACGATTCGGTTGTGCGAGTCGAGAGTGCAAACGTTCGGTTGTCGTTTCGTTGTCGAACGTAATTGCGAGATTCAGTTGACGAGTTGAGGAGTTGGAAATTTATACCGACGAGAGGAAATGGCAAAAGTGACGGAAGAGACGGAATAGAAAGTGTGGAATGAAAAAGTTCTCGAGACACGTTGCTTCGTAGTAAAAGATCTGTCTCTCGCCACGAGCAGCTCTGCTCGTTGTAACGAACGATCCTCGAAATCCGCTCGTCACTCAATGAGAGACAGCTTCCTGATTTTCGTGCTTCGCGATTCTTCGCGTTTACTTCCGGACTGAATTATCCGTTCGTTGTTGCAACGTAATTATTGCTCGACGTTATTACCGAACGGTAACAGAGTTTGGTCCATTAGAGACGGGCGAATCTTGCGTTCAAATCGGATGTTGGCTCTGTTACGTCATAAATAACTCGGCATTGGTGTGCTTGTGACGTTACAATTTTACTGTACAACGAGCACTCGGCTTATTCGCGTTCGACTATGCAGCTACGTAGAAATGGAATTCTAATTCTAGAACAATGAAGATCAACGGCAGAATTGTCACAACAATCACGTGTAAAAAAAAGAAGAGAAAAACGTTCGAAACTTCTAGAACAAGCATGTCCAATCTACCCTATTCAGCGGTCCACGCTGTATAACTAAAATTGGAATAATTAAATAGAAGAGTTTTACTATTTGAATAATTTTGAAAACCATGAATGTTCATAATGTCTCTTATTTTTTTCCCACATGAGGCACACGAAAAATAAAATAAGAACTTTGAAAATGTTCTTATATTGCTACTACCTGTATCAAATTAGATATTGATACCTAAAAAAAACAAGCTCGGTGTTCTCATTAAAAAGTTTAATATTTTTTTCATCAATATAAATGTATTCTTCTAATTAATGTATTGTTTCATCATAAAAGTTGTTTCAATGTACTCGTAAGCAACATAGGTTATATTGAATTGATGAAAAATATGTAAACTACGTGTCGACACTCTCGACAAATTTTCCAATGATGCCCAGAAGATCTAAAAGATTGGACGACACTTCGTGTGTTAAACGCAGCAACATCTAGTCAAACAGACATCTTCGGAGGGAGTCGAATAGTTTTCCAGACTAATCATCAAGATCAAACATATTTGCTGTCAAACACAGCTTTGTCGGAAGAACGAAAACGCGATTCCATCGGAACGGAAGTGGCCGGCGTTCGACCAACGACTCGAGAAGAAGTCAAAACCTCTAATTGCAAGAGATAAGACAGTCGTCGTCGTCGTTCGTTTCCAAGCCGATTTCTGGCTCGAAGACTAACGGTCGTTCTCGCGTCGAGAGGCCAGAGCGAAAAGTGTGCGTGAAAGCCCCGGTGATAAATGATAGAACGTACCGGGGAGGCCCTAGAAGACGACCCGTAGACCCAAAGACCCACTGAGCGCCACGAACGAGCGGATAAAGGACCAGGCTGCTGCCTTGTCTCGGCGCATATTAATGGACAAACATAATCGCCGCATCTCAGCAGGAGCCGGCAGCTGAAATATCCGCTCGTTGCTCTGCCTCCTCTGCTTCACGCCGGCTGCGGACTGTCGGCAGTTCCTCGCACGATGCCAGGAGGCGACGTTCCTCGCCGCCCAACTCTCTTTCCGCCGTGTTTCCTCTCATTTCGCGTCTCGATCCCTCGGGATTCGCGGAATCCCGCGGCCAACATCCATCAAACG